TGAGGGCCAGGCTATGCCTCCCCCCGACTGCGTGTGTGGGCCTGGGCCAGGCTGTCCGAACAGAGGAACAAAACTATCTCTTTCCCCCCATTCCAGGCTATATTTAGAGGCTGAGCAGGAGGGGCCCATGGGGAGGGGGTGCCCTGTGCCCTGCTGGCAGAGGGGCCGGGACCTGGGCGCCCACCTGCCCTCTCAGGGCCAAGGACCTGGCTATGGGCTCACCCCAGGCAGGTGGAGGGCTGCGGGAGTCACAGTCACCGCGCCGAGGCCTCGGACCCTCTGGGACACCGCAGAAGGCAGGTGCCAGGGTCACATCACCCTGAGGCAGGGGGACTGGGGCCGGAGGAAGCCCACGCCCATTTCTGCGGTTGGTGCTACTGTTCACACCTTTCCACAAGGCCCAGCACCTGGCCAGTGCTGGCCGTGCCTCCACACCTTCCCGTGGGACCTCGGGCCTGCCGAGAACGTGGGAGGGGCCAGGGCCCTCTGTGGAGGGCTCAGCGGCCCCCAAAGGGCACACACTGAGCAAGCGGATTCAGGGGTTGGGAGGGAGCCATCCATGGGGTGCCTCAGGGTAGGAGCTGAGGCAGTGGAGACCAGTGGGGAAACCGAGGCACAGACCTTCCTGAGGCCATTTGGGCAGAGGCAGGCGGCTCAGCCCAGATCCTCCCAGCCTGGCTCCTTCCCCGCCTGCGAGGGGAGAGCTAAGTAGACTGCAGGCCGTCCGCCGGCCACCTGCCCCCGAGGCCCAGCTCCCTGAGTGGAGCCAGGGGCCTACAGTCCCCCACCCACCAGAGCAGAAAGGGTGGTGAGTAGGTGGCCCAGAGAGGCCTGTGGGACCCTAAACCCTGCGGTCGCTGCGAGGTAGAGGGGCGGGTCTGCTGGGGGTGGGGTGACAGGGACAGAGACGCCAGCACCAGAAGGGAGAAATGGAGGGAGTGGGCAGTCAGAGGCAAGGACGCAGGCTGAGACCAGGGCCGGGTTCCGAGTGGGACCTGGGCCGGGGCTCCGAGTGGGACCTGGGCCGGGGCTCCGAGTGGGACCTGGGTCGGGTTCCGAGTGGGACCTGGGTCGGGCTCCGAGTGGGACCTGGGCCGGGGCTCCGAGTGGGACCTGGGTCAGGCTCCGAGTGGGACCTGGGCCGGGGCTCCGAGTGGGACCTGGGTCGGGTTCCGAGTGGGTCCTGGGTCAGGCTCCGAGTGGGACCTGGGCCGGGGCTCCGAGTGGGACCTGGGTCAGGCTCCGAGTGGGACCTGGGCCGGGGCTCCGAGTGGGACCTGGGTCGGGTTCCGAGTGGGACCTGGGTCAGGCTCCGAGTGGGACCTGGGCCGGGGCTCCGAGTGGGACCTGGGTCAGGCTCCGAGTGGGACCTGGGCCGGGGCTCCGAGTGGGACCTGAGTCAGGCTCCGAGTGGGACCTGGGCCGGGGCTCCGAGTGGGACCTGAGTCAGGCTCCGAGTGGGACCTGGGCCGGGGCTCCGAGTGGGACCTGGGTCAGGCTCCGAGTGGGACCTGGGCCGGGGCTCCGAGTGGGACCTGGGTCGGGCTCCGAGTGGGACCTGGGCCGGGGCTCCGAGTGGGACCTGGGTCGGGCTCCGAGTGGGACCTGGGCCGGGGCTCCGAGTGGGACCTGGGCCGGGGCCCCGAGTGGGACCTGGGTCGGGCTCCGAGTGGGACCTGGGCCGGGGCCCCGAGTGGGACCTGGGCCGGGCTCCGAGTGGGACCTGGGCCGGGGCTCCGAGTGGGACCTGGGCCGGGGCTCCGAGTGGGACCTGGGTCGGGGTTCCGAGTGGGACCTGGGTCGGGCTCCGAGTGGGACCTGGGTCGGGCTCCGAGTGGGACCAGGGTCGGGGCCCCGAGTGGGACCAGGGTTGGGGCCCCGAGTGGGACCAGGGTCGGGTTCCGAGTGGGACCAGGGTCGGGCTCCGAGTGGGACCTGGGTCGGGCCCCGAGTGGGACCAGGGTCGGGCCCCCGAGTGGGACCAGGGTCGGGCCCCCGAGTGGGACCAGGGTCGGGCTCCGAGTGGGACCTGGGTCGGGCTCCGAGTGGGACCTGGGTCGGGGCCCCGAGTGGGACCAGGGTCGGGGCTCCGAGTGGGACCTGGGTCGGGCTCCGAGTGGGACCTGGGTCGGGCTCCGAGTGGGACCTGGGTCGGGGCCCCGAGTGGGACCTGGGTCGGGCTCCGAGTGGGACCTGGGTCGGGGCCCCGAGTGGGACCTGGGTCGGGCCCCGAGTGGGACCTGGGCCGGGCTCCGAGTGGGACCTGGGCCGGGGCCCCGAGTGGGACCTGGGCCGGGGCCCCGAGTGGGACCTGGGTCGGGCCCCGAGTGGGACCAGGGTCGGGCCCCGAGTGGGACCTGGGTCGGGGCTCCGAGTGGGACCTGGGTCGGGGCTCCGAGTGGGACCTGGGTCGGGGCCCCGAGTGGGACCTGGGTCGGGGCCCCGAGTGGGACCTGGGTCGGGGCTCCGAGTGGGACCAGGGTCGGGGCTCCGAGTGGGACCAGGGTCGGGCTCCGAGTGGGACCAGGGTCGAGGCTCCGAGTGGGACCAGGGTCGGGGCTCCGAGTGGGAGCAGGGTCGGGGCCCCGAGTGGGACCTGGGTCGGGTTCCGAGTGGGACCTGGGCCGGGGCCCCGAGTGGGACCTGGGTTGGGGCCCCGAGTGGGACCTGGGTCGAGGCCCCGAGTGGGACCTGGGTCGGGGCCCCGAGTGGGACCTGGGTCGGGGCCCCGAGTGGGACCTGGGTCGGGGCTCCGAGTGGGAGCAGGGTCAGGGCTCAGTGTGACAAATCAAGGTTCATCATGTTACTGAGGGTGTGACTCGGGTTGGGGCTCAGTATGCGGCTGAGATTTGGGTCAGCTCTGTTCGGATCAGGGTCAAGACGTGGGGCTGGGAATCAGCAGGGCTTGGCCCACATTGGTCTTCTTGCCAGTGCGGTCCCTGGGGTGTCCTGAGCATCCTGCACGCGCCCCACCCGCTGCCCTGGCCCTGGCCAGACCCAGCACCTTGAGGGGCTTGCTGGCCAGCGTGCAGAGCTGTCCCTTGGGCCTTTCCTGGGACCATCTCTCAGAGGAAACACTCTGTGATCTGTATTTGTCTCCGATTATGATGACGGCCTAGTGCAGACACAGCGGGAAACTGAAAGCATGTGGGATCCAGAAACTGTGCCATCTGTGCCCTGGGCCAGCTCCCCGATCCTGGGGTCTTTCCTCCCATGATCTATCTGCAAGGCATGGTTTACTCGTCGTAAAGGAGGGACAGCTGGGAGGCACCCCTCCCTTCCTGGGGACCTCTGTCCTCCACCCCTCGCACAGAGGATGAAGCCGATAGCCCTGAGACCCCAGACCCCCAGCCGACAGGCCCACAGATGGCATTCACACCCCGTCTCCCCGAACGACACCCATTGACCCTGTTAGGAGCCAGGGGTACGAGCAGAGGACAGCCCACCTGGAGGACACTGTGAGCCAAGCCTGGGCCCACGTAGGCTGGGGCTGGCCAGAGGGGCAGGGCACAGGCCTGGGCAGCACCCGACCCCTCCCAGGGGCTCAGGGGGCAGAGGCAGAGGCTCGGCCGGATGACCTCAGGCAGGTGCTGCCCTCTCTGAGCTCCAGGGTGGAGGCGGCCGCCTGTTCTGCCAGGCTTCCCTCCAGGCCAGCTCAGAACCTGAGCCTCAGCAAGCGAGGGCGCCTCTCCTTTGCCCACTCAGCAGGCAGGGCAGTCGGCTGCCCCTCCCCCAGCAGGCAGGACTCAGAGTCCTCACCGCAGGGTGGAAGCTGCCCGGCTCCGGCGAAGGTGGGCAGAGACCTGCTCACAGTGCTCACTCCCTCCCGCTGGGGCAGAGGAGGGGCTCCCCTGGCCCTGCAGCTGGGGAGGGCACACTGTGCCCCTGGGTGTCCCCCGGCTGCCCTTCCTCCCTGCTGCTCCCCAAAGCTTTCTCCTCTCCCCGAAAAAGCCAGAAATGTCCTTATTTGGAGGATCAGCCTGGCCGGTGGGGTGGGGGCCATTAACCCTTCATTTGGGATAAATCTCCCAAATAAAGGGATAAATCTCCCAAGTTAAACAGCTCGGGCAGGAACGTAAACAGAGGGGGCAGCCCCAGCCCAGCCTCCCACCGCCCCCACCCCTTGTCTGGGCCACCAGGCGTGGACACCCGGGAGCATGGAATTTATTTAACTCACACCCACTCAGGCCCCACTGCGCCAGGGCCCTGCTCCAGCTCTAACCGCGGTAAGCAGCCTGCGTGTGCCCCCAACACTACAGGGGCTGCCTCAGGGCTGGGAGGAAACTGGGCACTCAGGAGGCTGGGTCTCAGCACCCCCACACTCCTCGGGAAAGGTCCCTCCGAGGACCCTCACCCAGGGCATTGGCCTGGTGCCAGCGTTGGAGGAGGTAAGAACAGACGGGTAGCCTGGGGGACAGAGCCATGCCTCGTGGGCGTGGGGAGGGCTGGGTAGGGTGAGCATGGGTGGGGCCACAGGGCCAGGCTCTGTGAGCAGAGCACTGGTTCCTCCGGCACCTACCACATGCTGGGTGTGTGAATCCTCCCCAGATCCTCGATGCCAGCTGTGTAGGTAGGACACGGGCCCAGAGAGGCTAAGCAACTTGCCCAAAGCTGCACAGAGTAGGGGGGAGGCAGGTTTGGAGCTGGATTCAAACGCCACACAGGTGGCCCTACCCTCCTAGCTGTGCCACACCCATCACCTTTGCCTTCCGGGTCCTGGTGACGGTCCTGCAGGGCAGGGGTTTCGCCCCCTGGTACAGGAGGAGCAGGCTCTGAGCACTAGCCCTCTGCCAGAGTTCCCCGTGGGCACGTGCCAGGGCCCGGGGAGCAGAGAGGGCAGACATTGCAGGGCCGGTCCAGGCAGAGGCAGGAAGGCATAGCATGGGGGTGCTGGTGGGCAGACCAGCCGAGTCCAGGCCCCCAGGCAGGGCTCCAGTACCCCCAGGGTAACCCCATCTCTTTCCTCCCAGACCTGGAGCGAGCGCTGGCCAGCTGCCGTCATGCCCTCTGAGTCTCCAGCGGGGCCGACTGTGGCGGCCCCCAATGCCACAGCGACGGCGGCGGCGTGGGCCAACCTCAGTCTGCCGGAGAAGCCCCTGTTCTACCTGTTCGCTGTTCTGGACAAAGATCTGCACACCGACTTCCCGGGCCTGTGGCTGGCGCTGATGGCCGTGCACGGCGTCATCTTCCTGGCGGGGCTGGTGCTCAACGGGCTGGCGCTGTATGTCTTCTGCTGCCGCACCCGGGCCACCACGCCCTCCATCATCTACACCATCAACCTGGTGGTGACCGACCTGCTGGTGGGCTTGTCCCTGCCCACACGCTTCGCCGTCTTCTACAGCACGCAGGGCTGCCTGTCCTGCGCCTTCCCCCACGTCTTCGGCTACTTCCTCAACATGCACTGCTCCATCCTCTTCCTCACCTGCATCTGCGTGGACCGCTACCTGGCCATCGTGCAGCCGGAGGGTTCCCGCCGCTGGCGCCAGCCCGCCTGTGCCAGGGCCGTGTGTGCCTTCGTGTGGCTGGTGGCCGGCGCCGTGACCCTGTCCGTGCTGACGGCCGGCGGCGGGCCCTGCTGCCGCATCTTTGCGCTGACCGTGCTGGAGTTCCTGCTGCCGCTGCTGGTCATCAGCGCGTTCACGGGCCGCATCGTGTGTGCGCTGTCGCGGCCGGGGCTGCTGCGCCAGGGCCGCCAGCGCCGCGTGCGGGCCATGCAGCTGCTGCTCACCGTGCTCGTCATCTTCCTCGTCTGCTTCACGCCCTTCCACGCCCGCCAGGTGGTCGTGGCCCTGTGGCCCGACATACCGCCCCATATCAGCCTCGTGGTCTACCACGTGGCCGTGACCCTCAGCAGCCTCAACAGCTGCATGGACCCCATCGTCTACTGCTTCATCACCAGCGGCTTCCAGGCCACGGTCCGTGGCCTCTTCCGCCGGCGTGGAACAGAGTGCGAGGCTGGCGTTGGCGACGTGGTCAGCCTGCGCAGGAGCTCCAGGGGCTCCGGCCACCAGCACATCCTCAGCGCTGGCCCCTGCGCCCTCACGCAGGCCCTGGCCAATGGGCCTGAAGCATAGTTGGCAGGACGCAGCCAGGAAGCCCAAGGTCAGGACTGGGCTGAGCATGCCAGGTGAGAGCCAGCAAATCGGTTTCACCCTGATCGACTGGCGATGACTGCCCAGGGCACAGCACGGAGGTTCTGAGGCCACTGTGCTCTAGTTGATTAGCAATGTCTGCCAAGGTCTCCAGATGGGGTGTGGGACCCTGAATGCCGACTGTGTGCTATCGCCAGAGGATACATTGTGGCCATTGGAGCCGGGAGGGGTAGCCAGGGGCTCCTCCTCACCCAGGCCGTTCTGTCTCCAGAAGGGGGGCCTCCACAGAAGGGACAGAGTTTTTTTTTCCTATTCATTTTCAGACAGAGTGGGAGGGGGAGAGAGAGAGAGAGAGAGAAACATCGATGTGAGAGAGACACCTGCACTGGTTGCCTCCTGCACAACCCCGACCAGGGCCAGGAACTGAACCGCAACTGAGGTACGTACCCCTGACCGGAATAGAACCTGCCACTCTTTGGTCTGCGGGCTGACGCTCTAACCACTGAACCAAACCAGCCAGGGTGGGACAGAGAATTTTTTAGGATTGGGGAACCCAAGGAGAGTTAAAAAGTCAAACTGAAGAAGTCACCTCCCCTCTCTGCCCCCCTCCCCCCCAGAGAGAGCAGCAGCGGCACAGGAGGGGAGGGTCAGGGCACACAGCTACCTGAGGGACGGGACGGGTGCGTGTCTGTGCACAGTAGGACCACGTGACCCCAGGTGGAGCTTTGCTTTCAGCCAGTACTTGGCTATCTGGGTTGATGCCGGAACCTGCAGCAACCCCACGAGGGAAAGACTATTTTCCGCCCATCTGCGGTGAGGGCTCAATACCAACTATTGTGCCACGGCTGGGGGTGGCCGCGTCCGAATCAAAACCCAGTCCCACTTCCTCCAACACCCTGCGCCTGCCCCAAGAAGGTTGCTCAGACCTTCCCAAAGCCCCTACCCCAGGAATGTTCTCACCGACTCTGCCTACTGCCCTGGCCGGTGTAGTTCAGTTGGTTGTACATTGGCCTGTGTACCCAGAGGTTGCTGGTTTCATTCCCATCAGTGCACATGTTTGGGCTTCGGGCTCCATCCCCAGCAGGGGGCGTGCAGGAGGCAGCCAATCCATGTTGTGCCCTCACACTGACGTTTCTCTCTTCTCCCTTCCTCTCTCTCTAAAAATCAGTGAACTATCCTTTTTTTTTTTTTTTGAAATGTGTTTTTATTGATTTTTTTTAGAGAGAGGACAGGAGAGAGAGAGAGAGAGAAACATCCATCAGCCGCCTCTTGCACGCCCCCTACCAGAGATAAAGCCCAAAACCCAGGCATGTGCCCTGACCGGGAAACAAACCGAGACCTGTCAGTCCATGGGACGTCACTCAGTCCGCTGAGCCACAGCAGCCAGGCATGAACTATTCTTTAAAAAAATAAAAAGACCCTGCTCGCTGTCCCCGGAGGACAGCAGGGCTCATGGCCCCATCCTATGGATGTAAAAACCAAGAGCACACACAGGACTCAAACGCAGGCATACTGGCCTCGAGTCGCCTTCCCCACACACCGAGCAGAGGGGCTCTGACCAGCTGTGCTCACCTGGCCATCCTATCTCCTGCCTTTTCTGGGGAGGGAGCATTTCTCTGGCTTGAGCTTCTGATCGCCTCCTCGGACCTGGGCTCCAGGATCGCCTCCCTGTGCCTGTTGGCCCCCAGGGGTGCAGTTCCACCATCCATCCAGCCTGTGCTCCCCAGGACTGCCAGGCTTTGGGGGAGCCTTCTGCCATTCAGCTTGACAGGGTGGCCACCTGTCTTCTGGGGCCAGGGCAGGAATTGTGGGCCTATCTCATACCTTTGAGAACTCAGCCTCATGGCCCCCATGCAGAACCCTCACTAGACGGGCCTCAGTTTCCCAACCCTCTCCTTGGTCTGGAAGCTGGAGGGAGAGGGGGCTGGGGGCTGGGTCCCCACGCTCCCACAGATGCATGCTTCCTTCTGAGCCCAAGGCCAGACCAGGGTGTGAGGCCTCTGCACACCCCTCCTTGTCGCCTCCCTTCCAGATTTTCCAAAATCCCGAGGGATGTGGACGGCATGTGTATTTATATCCGATGTAAGCAATCTCCTTGACGAGAAGTCTTCGTCCCAAATTAAACCTGTTTATTCCCTCTGTGCCTCGACTCAGATGGTGGGCAGGGGTCACCGCGTGGCACTGAGCCCGGGTGTGGCCTGCGCATGACCCTCTGCACTCGCCGTCCTGTGGACAGGTGGGCTCCCAGGAAAGGCTGGTGGTGGAGTCGTGGTTTGGCCATCACTGACTCTGAAGGGCAGGGGGTGAAGGTGCAGGTGGCAGACTTGTGGGCAGGGCATGGGTGCAGTCGTTGGAGTAGGGGTGCAGACCAGCAGAACGAGGGGTCCTCGCCCCATCCTGGTCCAAGCTCCGCCTGCCCAGGGAGAAGATGCAGATGTGGGCGGGGCTGCCAAAATGCCTTTAGCATCCTCATATCACCAAAGGTAAGTTCTGGAGGGGGAGGGAGGAGGTGGGTCAGTGAGCTGACGCCCTCGGGAGAGGGCCGGACTGGGGCAGGACTTGTGTTCTTGCAAAGTGGCACTGAACTGTCCCTTTCTCTGAGCCTCCCTACAAGCCTGGGAGGTCAGGATTGGCACCCCCATTTCACAAACGGGGAAACTGAGGTTCCAGACCTCGGCTCCCACTTCCTGCTCACACACAGCTGGGTCTGTCCTCAGCCCAGAAAGTGCGGGGCGGGAGGGCGCTGGCCGGACAGGCTCATCACTCTCACCGTCTGGCGCCCTCTGAGGCCGGAGGCGGCTGGAGGTAAATATTAGAGCCTGTTTAGATTAGGCTCCATTAATAGCAGGAAATGTCACAGTGGCGCCCGTCCTGGCTTCCTGGAGGCCTCTGATGCCTAAGGCCGGAGGCAGGCGCCCTGCAAAGATGGATGTCCGTCCCGACGTCTGGTTTACACCCCACACTGGTGACACCCCCCGCCCCACTTTGCACACTCCTGCCCCCCCTTCAGGAGGCTCTCTGCGCCCTCCGAGAGCTGGGGCCAGGGGAGCCGAGGGCAGTGGGTGTGTGAAGACACCCCTGGGCCACAGCCTCACACCCTCCGGGGGCAGGTCCCCATACCCCAGGGTCTGCGTTCCCAAAGCACAGAGGAGAACGGGCTCAGAGGTGCACTGGACCCGCCCAGGCTACCCAATGCCACCTGAAAAAGAGCCGGGGTTTCCACCCAGACCTGCCTGACCCCAGGGCCAGGCCACCCCTACCCCTTGCCCCCTTAAAGGAGCCAAGAAAGCTGTGGGCAAGTCGGCAGAAACCAGTTGGCTGAGCGTCAGCAGAGGGCAGGGTGCCCCTGTGCAGTGGGGAGGAGAGAGGAAAAGAGGGGCCTGAGGGAGGGGCAGGACAGGGCTGGGTACCCCACATCTCCACATGGACCTCTAGCCTCGGGGCCTCTGAGACTTGCAGTCAGCCCCATGCCCTCCAGTGACAGCCCCTCCCCACCCCTCCCCAGGGCTCCCTGCTCGCGGGAAGGAAGTCCATCCGGTGCCATGCCGTGGCTGCAGCCCCACCAGCTGCCCAGCTGAACAGCTGACCTGGGACCCTCCGGCTTCTCCATCTGTAAGGGGGAGCCTTCTGCCCAGGTGCAAAGCCCTGTTCCGCACAGGTCCCAGGAGAGGCCGCGGAGGCCCGTGGGGCAGGAGCCCCCCTGAGTCCCCCGAGACCCCAGCCACGCGCCTGGCCCTCTCCCGGCCTCACGTCCCCAGCCTGTGGGCCCTGCCGCTCCGTGTGCGCTCGGTGGGACTGCACGCCCGCCCCGCCCCGCCCTGCCCCGGGCCCAGCAGGACTCAATGGGAGAAAGCTCCGCTCATCAACCAGCGGAGCCTCTGCCTCCCCTTCCCCCGCGGCCCCTCAGCTTCCAGGGCTCCAGCTCGGGGTGGCAGGTCCTGGGCAGAGAAGTGGCCTCCCAAAGGGCGGGGTCACCAGGTACCCCCCAAGCCAGGGAGGCCTTCCCAGGGTACCACATGACAGTGTGGGGACTCTGGAGGGGGTGCCGAGGAGTGGGGGCCAGGTGCAGTCACCTGCCCTGCACTCAGCCATGGGGACCCAGCTGTGGCCCCGGGAAGATGTCAGTGTTCCCAGCGGCTCACGGGGTCCCAGGACCCACAGACCTTCACATCCAGAGGCCATGGGGAATGAAGGGCAGCTGACCGCATAAGCCCCAGGTGTCCAGTATACTGGTGGCCCCAGGACCCATTCATAGAGGAGTCCTGGCCCCTGTCAGGGTCTTGCCACCCCATTGGTGCCCCTCCTAGTGGCCTGCTGGGGGCGTTGAGAGTCAAGCTTTAGTGTGTGGGGATGAGGTCCAAGGGTCTGAACCCCACTCTACCCTGTCCTTCTCCAGGCAAAGCCCAGGGGCCAGCGGGAGCCGCTCCTGGGACAGTAACGCCAGAGGTTTGCAAAGAGGGCGCCACGGCCCAGCCCCGGCAGGCGCTCTAGGAACAGAGCCAGGCAGGACAACAGAGCGCCCCACCCTGCCACGCCCCGGCCACACCAGCCTCCCTGACCTTGAGTGAGCCCCTCGCCATCCTGAGCTCAGTTTCCTCCTCTGTCAAGCGAGGGTAATTGACACCTTCTACCTTGACGGGGGAGGGGGGTGAGAATTAGCACTAGTGTGTGTATGTTTATGTGTGCGTGTGTGTATGCATATGTGTATGTAGTGCACACAGGGTGCTCAGCACTCAGTCAGTGACTGACCTGAGGAACGGAGGGGCCAGGGCTGCCCCCAGGAAGGACCCCGCACATTCATTCATTCTCTTCCATTCATTCGACAGCACCCTCTACGTTCCCTGTGCCAGGTACAGGCTGAGGGTCTCCGCAGCAGGACCTCAGCCCCCACCACACACGGTGACTGAGACCCCCACCCTCGAACACCCCTCTAGGTTAAGCCCTAGCCCTGAGCTGCCCCTGAACCTGCACACACCTGGCGT